ACATCCGGAACCCTGATCTAAATTGCTAAGGCCCTTATGTTACTCCTCGTGATCCCTGGAAGTTGTTGGGACCTGAGCCTTTCCGCAAAACCGACACCGACACACCCAAATCAAGACATCGGGCCTGCGACAGGGTCTGCAGACTTCAAGAGCGTGCTGAAAGATATCTGCAGCCTCCCTGTTCCTTGGAAGAAAGGAAGGAGGTCAGCGGTTATCGATGCTTGTGGTCAGTTGAATGTAGGATTCGAGCGAACCTCCAGGGTTCAGGATGACTCCAAAACGTACCGACCACAGTTGGCTGCCGATCGCCATGTAACTCGACGGAACAGGCAACGTAAAGGCAAGGGGTACGTGCGAGGACCATCTGAAATCACGGGATCTCAGGGGCATGAATCGAAAAGGCCATTTGGTGATACCTTTGACATCGGATCCTAGGCTTGAAAGCTTGCGAGGCCGCAGGCAGGGCTACCGCCATGACTCGTAGACTCTTATGCAGACTCTGTACTCTGTAGACTCTAACTTGAAAAAGAGACCACGTTGTCATACGTTGTCTCAGCCACGGCACCCGAGAAGCAAGCCTCCAGCTCATCCAGCATTGCAGAGCAAAGATCAGACTGGTAGATCAGAAGGCTGGGCTCTAGCCCATTGTTGTCTTCCGGCGTGCGAAGGTCGATGGCCTGAGCCCCAGTCTCTGGAAGCAAGCGGCACCGGAAGAGGCACCGAAGCTGCTTCACAAGGCCCACTTGAACGTATAGGGGTATACCCCCAAAATTAGGGCTCTATCCCTAGTTCCCCTACTTATAAACCCTACTTACAAGTACTCCCCATGAAGCGCCAGTGGCGAAGGTTGGGGAGAGGTGCAGCTTGAACCGCTCACTGCCAAAGCCACTTGGCTTAATGGATGCCCAGAGCTTCTCTCCAGCTGTCCTGGGGGAAAGCTGATGGAGAGCTTCGTGCGTGCTGTCCCTCCTCTCTGTGAAAGTCCGACATCCGCCAAAGACCTCATAGAAACCCCAAAGCCTCAACTTTTTTCCTGAAAACATCCCCAAAATCATCTTCGATGATTTTCAACAACATCCTGAGGTTTCGTCCCTCACAAGTCTTTTCAGGGGGTCCGGATGGCAGTGCGGCCCCGGATGCCCAGGCCCAAGGCGTAAGCTCGGCCCTCCAAGGACTCGTCTGTCCGCGGGTCTCGTCGACCTTCGACGAGGCGCACCGATGCCCCAGCCGCCAGCAGCCGGTGCGCCAGCAACAGCCCTGTAGAGTCTGTGGAGTCTGTACAGTAACTGCAGAGGCGAAGATGAGACAAGGCAAGAAGAGATGACGATGAGGCAAGCAAGACCATGGAATGACGTGGAGAACCGGGCACGGCTCTGTAAGCTCTCGGGATAACGCTCTGGCCTGAGGGCCCTGCACCGGCGATGAGAACCGAGAGGGCAAGCCCGGGTCCCGAGCCGCTGTTTGCACCCTCGGCCCCCAAGGACCAAGAGCTTCGAGAGCTTCGAGAGCTTGGAGAGCTTGGTCTCCGCAGCTTTGCAGCATCTTTGGCTGCAGCAGTTTCGCCAAGAAACGCGGAGGCCAAGCCCAGGCCTGGAAAAGGGACTAGGGTTACTTGGGGGTTTACGATATTCGGGGGGGGGGGGGGGGGGGGGGGGGGGGGGTACCTTACTGGGGTGCTTGTGATAAGGAGATGCTACTATTTGGGGGGTCCATATTGGGTCCCCTATTCTCGTAAACGCCCATATAACCTCATGACATGACATGTTCTTGTCGCTGGCGGATGCCATCGACCAACACTGCTCCATGTCCTGAGATCTTCTGAGCCTCGGGCCTAGCACAAAGCAGAGCATCGTGTCAATTCTGGACCATGGTCGCCTCCTGCCACAAGCCAACACGGCAGGCTCTTGGAGGCTGACGGGTAGAGAGACACATGATTTATATTATATAAGGTTAAACCCAACTGTAACTATACGATACTATATAAAATACGATAATATACCATAATATACTATAATATACTATAACATACTATAATCGCACCCTATGTACGTGAGACCTTGCCTGCGCCAGCGGCTCCAAGCAGCTGCCATGGGCGAGTTTTCAGGCTCAAGTTCCAGTTGTGGGCTGGGAGCCCGACAAAGCTCTCGCATGTGCAAAGAGTTGTGAAGCAGGTTATCTTTCAGTGGATCGCAGGCTCATGGTGGCACATCATGTGCAAACTCGCCTGTGCAGCGCAGGACTTGTCCCTGCCTCTCCACCAAGGTCTCACGCCATGTCTCGCGCCGCGTCAGTGGGAACACGTCGTGGGCCAGCCCAAGATCCTCCTCTGGTGGGAACCGTGGGGAATTAAGGACCCAAGCTGCGTACTGTAGCAACTCCCTAAGAAGCCTCCGTAGGAGTCCTGCTCCCCGCAGAAATAGTCTCGGAACTCACAGAAGACTCCAATTCCTGTGGGGCAGGAGCAGGAACACTCATTCAAGCAAATTGGCCAGGCCGCCAAGACGCGGTAGCCATTCTGCTTCAGTATTCGCAGGAGGTTGTGCGAGTTATCCCCCTGACAGCAGGAACAGATCGAGACTTCGGAAGAACAGCCGCGCAATGAAGTTCAGAACGGAATCCAACAGCGCCTCAAGTTCGAGGCCCCCGAGCATAGGGTAGAGGTTCTGAACCTTACGCGCAGACAGGTCTGTTAAAGATATGCCCAGGAGCCTGCACTCGACCATCCTTGCTGATGAGCAGCTGTACTGCCCCACTGGACAGTGTGAAACCAGCCTCAGCAACCCTAGCAACCCTAGCAACCCTAAACCCTAGGAACCCTAATCCCCCATGGTCACTCTGCACTCGGCGCTCTGCCTCTGCATGCCAAGTCTCCTGCTGCTCCCCCCACGTAGCCAGGGCCAGCGCGGCGCAAGGCTTGGGACGTCAAAGGTAAGAGCTCCTTCTCCGAAGTGCGTTTGGGGATTTACGAACATAGGGGGACCCCCAAAAACAGATCCCGAAATGGAAGGGTTCCCCTTTTTTCAAGGACCCAATAACACACCCCCGCATATCGCAAACCCCCATTTCAGCTGCATTCGACCATTGCTCCAAGCAAACGTGCACCCCCTGAAAAGACGGTCTCCTCCAAGGTGTGGATTGACCTCGGGCGGCAGAAGCTGAGGCAACTGGACTGCGCATGAGGCACTGGAGCATGCCACTGCCTGAAGCACTCCTGAAGTCCCTCCTCCATACCATAATATCATCGTTGCAGGGCTGGTTTTGCAGAAGACTCTTAGGATGCCCCCTTTTTCGACCGGCGCACGGAGTCTTGCGGCCCCAGCACCGCTCGGCTTGATCAGGGAATCAGGGATGCACGAAGTCCACGGCCTGATTCCTGACGGCCCTTCGGGCCCACATTGTCCTCGTGAGATCATGAACGCGTTGGTGACAGCCTCCCCCTTCGTCACGATGGCTGCTGCTTCAGGGCATGTTCAAGACACTTCATCACCGAGGTGAGCTCCACCGGTCATTCTGACATCATGACATCACAATCAGCTCGGAGCAGTCCATGGCAGTCCATGCGAATCCTCTGCACCCAGAAGCGGCTTTCAGCGCCGTGCTCAGCTCGCATTGTTTCTTGCGTAGACGTAGTACCTGAACTCCTGGCTTGAACCGGGTAGTGCTCCAGCGTGCGGGCAGATCCTCGCACTCACCGGCCGATCACATCCGTCACAGATACATCAAGCACCCCTTCACACGACCAGCGCCTGGGTAGTTCAGACCTTTAGCCAAGAGACGGCACCGGAAGGCTGGAGGTCGTGCCGGATAAAAAGACCTTAAGCTGGTTCTGAATCATTGTTGGGGTTCTTTTAAGAAGTATTATTTTGCTCCTTATTCGGAGTTTTAATATGACAAAAAATGTACAATTACAACCAACAAGACCCAGGGTTGGTCCCAGCACCCCACCCTGTCACAGAGACAGACCTGCATCGAATCCAACTGCCATTCTTGCATCAAGACACCACCAATGAGTCTCCCGGCGTGAATGCCAGGTCTCCCGCTGCAGCCTAAGGTGTGGACAGCAAAGCAAAGAAAACAAAGTAACCCAAGCAGCAGCAAAGTGTAATAACAGTGTAGCTCAGACTGTGTTGAGGCTAGTGTTTCTGTTGCCGACTGGGCTCAAGCTTCTCAGCACCTGCGATGGCCGCACATCAACCATACTCGGAACGTATGAGCCCCTTAAGTGCCCTAATATGGTTATAAGTACAGTTTTAAGTACAGTCATGAATGCCTAATAAAGTACCATGAACCTCCAAGTACACTCTTCTTGGCTAAGGTTCCTGGAATCTTCGGCCGCTGGCCTTCCGGCGAAAGACAGTAGTTCACCGTGGGCTGCGATCGCGGGATTCGAGGACCAGGGCCTTAGTGTAGATTCTTCAGGAAAGTCGCTTCCTTTCAGCAATAAGAAGAATGAAAAAATATTCGTAAGCATAGCAGAAGTCACAGCAATACAAAGTACATGTCGAGCCATATCAGCCATGTCACCATAGACTTTCAACTTCTCGGCGGCCTCGATGGCACGGAAGGCTCTCCCTCTGCCAATTGCGAGGCGCTTCCGGCCGATGGCGCAGTCTGGGCAAGGGAACCACACCTGGGATCCCTCCTCTCTAAATCTACAAGGGTGCAATGCAAAAAAAAAAAAAAAAACCTTTACCCTCCTCCTTTAAGCCCTCTTTTGAGCCCCTTTAAGCCTCCCTTTAAAGCCCTCGAAGCTCTACCAAAACTTGGTCCCAAAGCTAGGAGAGCATCGCCAAGGTAGATTGGTTTACGTGTGCTGCATGTCGGTGCTTCTGCGATTTTAAGGGGGCAGCGAGACAGACCAAGTCGTAGTCACTCTTTTTATATGCGGGGCCAGAGTCACTCTGTCAGTGGCACCTGTTGTATTGTCTAACTCCCGCCAAGATGCGTTCACAAGCAAATGCTTCGCCTCGTTCACGCTCTTCCCAGGGACCTGCCCATGCAGTTGGCATCACGTGTTCTGCCACATGGGCCAGGGCAGTGCCGGGTGTAAGGAGGCCTCGTCCAAGTGGAAGGTTGAGATTCTGGTGTTGCTGCGCTTCACATGGTTGTCTTCAAGCGGGAGGATCACCGCGGTACCCTGGAACACCATCTCCAACATGTCCTGAAACCCATCCTCAGCTTGTGAAACTCATGTGATCCCTTAGCCCCCCTCAGGTTGTCAAGCAACAAGATCATGATCTCATCCCAGCGGCACTACCACGCGTCGCAAAGTCTTTCACGGTCTGCAAGCTCAGCACCACCAAACCGTCCCGCGTCAGTAGTTGGTGCGCCACCCTGCAGAACCTTAAGCCAAAGTTGAAAGACAAGAACTCAAGATTGAGCGCAAAATACCAGGCACGTTGCTTGTATTCTTAGTCTTCTTGGAACACTGAGTGTTGTCGATGATGGTGACTATGCTCATTCCTAAGAGTAGCGCTGGCAATATGTTTTGTAGGAGTCTGGCTATGGTATCATTTTTTCCAGCCAACTGACACGCCGCCCAAACCCCTTTTGTTGTCTCGATTGTGCAATGTTCAGGCTGCTGTTGTGGCGTGGCTGCGTCCGTGTCTGTCTGTCCCTGTCTGCGTCCGTCTGTGTGTGCCACTTCCTGTCGGTCATTTAGTGGGGTGTCTTGCTCAAAGTGCAAGGAAACCAAGCAACTGTGGATTTGAGAAGGATGCACCCATGCTGGCACTAGCTGCCATGGACTCGAGGGTCATCCAGTCCTGCCAGCGCGGAGGGACAAGGGAAAGAGGGTGACTGCCGCCACTTGATGTTGGCGATTGGGCGCTCCTTGAAGGTGTGTTCATGTTGGTAGCTACCGGACTCCAACGTCTCATAGTCGAACCTCTCCGATGCCGTGGATGGGCTTGACTGCACCTGCGCCGTGCTGGTTCGGCTAATCATGACAGCCACAAGATCACGTCCTCATCTTAAGCCTCTCCCCACCCAGACAACCAGTGTGCCTGATTCTGCAGGAAGTCCCCATCCCGCGAGGACAATGCCAGCACACCGTGGACATCCTCAATTTGCCGTGCCAGGCTCTGAACTATACTTCGAGAATCGAGAGCAGCAACACCTCATCCCTAGTCGTCCCTGCCTGCCTGCCGCGCAGCCGTTAGCTGAGTGTGCTGGCAAGTGTCATCTGCAGTTCTTGCCATAAACTCCTCCTGCTTTCGCCGTTGTCGCAGCGCTCGCAAAATTAGAAAACCTGCCTGCAAGGCACCGCAAGTCCTCCTGAAGCACTGTGAACTATTTCGACTGCGCATAACTCTCATAGTTCTGGTCCAGGACACGATTGCTACCAGACCAGTTCCAGCTGCCAGGCTTACCTGCTCGTCACCCATCCCATCCTGAAGGACCAAGGCCCATAAGGCCCATGAGGTATCATGGCCATAAAGTCATGGAGGTCCATGTCTAAGTCTCGATCAGAGGCTGGTAGGTTCAGCTGCTGGTACGGAAACCCAGTCGAAAGAACACCAACCTCAAGCGACTCAAGCCAGACGACAGTCTACAGCCCGTTCCTGTTGACCTTTCTTAACTTGCCTGCAAGACCCACAGCTTCACAAAACGCGGGCTTGAAGCGTCTTGCTGGCTCACGGCTAGCCTCACCCGTGCTCGTGAGGGCAAAGCCCTTCTGAACTGCACATGCTGTCGCCGAAGCCTGGTGAATCTCCACAAGGCATGGGAAACGTGGCGGAAGCAGTCTAGCATCTCAGCTTTGTCTAGAAGAGGTTAGCATCCAGCCTGTGCCGTCCGGAATTTCGGTCCTCACAGGATGCTGCATGATCAAGGTACGTGTGACATGCCGCCTGGCAATTCCAGTTCGGACCTGAATACTTCTCCTTCGCAGGATTGATGATTAATGACATATGCTTTGGACATATGGCATATGGCATACGGCATTGGTGCTAGCATTACACATATTCAATGTACTGAGAGTCAGCGCATTTCTGTGACATCCAGTCTGGCCACGGACACGCCACGCATGCGGTGAGACATTCCTGGTGAAACGACTCACAATGTGGAAACGTGAGACGACGAACTAGCAATACCGCTCGGCCACGCGGTGGAGAATATTAACCGCCAGCGACTGACAATTATGCAACAAGCACACTGTTCATTGTCAAGTTGACATGAACCCTGACCCTACCCTGCCCTGGATGAGCAAATGGCTGTTAAACCCCTGAACCCTGAACCCTAAACCCTAAAACTACAACCTTCTGCCCTTCACCCCTAGAAGCGGTCGGTCTTGTCCAGCAGATTGGCCTGGTGACGCTGCATTGCGGCCTGTTCGCCGGCCTTCATGTCCTCCTGAGGTCACGAAGCCTATTGAGGTTTCATGATTAGGTTGGTTATGTTTGGGGTTTAGGGATTAGGGCTTATGGTTCAGGGTTTCGCCCAAGTTGTCGAACAGTCGTTCGCAGTGGGACGACCTCTACGGGCTCTTCTGCGGCTTAAGGAGTTTAAGCTTTGTTTTGCCACCCCCCCCCCCCCAAAGCAGACCTTTGGGACGTAGGGTGTAGGGTTTTCCCTGGACTGTCAACCGATGTGAGCTTGTGAAACTCCCCACGTGACAGCTGCAGTGGATTGCTCGAGGACCTAATGGGCCCGAAGTACCCAGGCGCTTCAAAAGTACTGTCCTCCTCTCATCCACTGTCTGGTTCTTTTTCACTCTCGCTTCTTCTTCGTCTTCTACTCAGCGAAGAGGCCCCCCCGAGGAGGTGAAATGGTCGGCTCCCGTGTTGGGCGTCGGAGCGTGTGAGGGCCCCCTCTCAGCTCTTCTCTCTCTCTCTCTCTCTCTCTCTCTCTCTCTCTCTCTCTCTCTCTCTCTCTCTCTTTCTTTCTTTCTTGGGGGCGTGGGGGCGAACCCCCTGGCTGTGCGCCTGCCCCGGTATTCGGGGGTCCTTGGTTGGTTGAGTTCGGGGAGACAAGGTCGGGCTTGGCGCCTATGTCTGTGTTGCCCCAGTCCTTAAGGGTCCTTAGTTCCCCCCCCCCCCCCGCGCCATTCCCTTCCGTTTCTCTCCCTGGCTGGTACCATCCAGCATGCGAACTGCCGGGGCCTTTCAGAAACTGTCGGAAGCTAGGTCAGCGCCTATAACCCTCCGGGCCCCCTACACGATTTCATAGCCCCCGGAGTTCAGTGCAGTGAAACGAGTTAGCCTTCTGTGGTCTCAAACAGGCTGGCCCCCTAAACTCCCCAAAGCAGCCCCAAATCAACTCGAAGTCCTATCCTCGAAGCGCCTGGAAGTGGAACCTGAAAACTCCCAGCCCCCACAACGGCTTACTCACTCTACTTTGCTGTGCTATGGCCCCGTGCGAGGGTAGACTGGGCCCCCTCATGTTGGAAATTCCTACTGCCAGTGCCCCCCTGTTCTTAGTCACCTGCTAGTGCCCCCCTGTACTTAGTCAACCCCCGCGTGGGCTCGTCTACGCCTGTGCTCCTCTGCTACATTCAGCAGGTCAATGCCCCCGGGGGGCTCAGTACGTCTGCGCCGGTGTGTTTCATCTTCGTCCCCCGCTTCGTCTTCTTCTTCTTCTCCCGCTTCTGTCGTGAGGTGCTTGTACTGGTAGCTTGACCCCCCACTCCTGGACCTTCTGGTGCGCTGGCCGAAAGCCAGCCTCCGACGCTGCTTGGACCGCCTTCTATTTGCGGCTATCCCCATTTGGGCTTCCCACCTTCTCCTCATCGTCTGCGGCTGCGGGTAGCTACTAGGAGGCGGGGGTTGCCATGCTTGCGTCGGTGGCGTGAGTGGTGCACCCCCATCTATCCCCTGCTCCGAGCTGGTTGCTCCCCCTGTTCCCCCTTCTGCTTCCAGCGTGACGATTGCCTCGATCTTCTCCCTGCCATTATCGCGATCTGGTAGTAGGTCTCGGTCTCGTTGGTTGGTTTCGCCCCCAGCTTCCGCAGCCCCCTCCCCTGCGTGGCCCCCTCTCGTCGCAGCCCCCACCCGTGCAGCCCCCTCGCTTCCGCCTCTCCTTCTCCTGGCTTCTCCTCCCGTGCTTGGTGGCGGTGGTGGTGGTGCCGTGTGTCGTGGTGGTGGTTGTTGTTGTGGTGGTCGTGGCTGCTGCGGTGGCCACGCCGGTGGTGTGGGTTGTTGTGGTGGTTCTGGCGTGTCTTCGATGGCCAAGAGGTCAGCCCCCCAGAGGTTGTGGCACCACTCATTGAGTGCTTGTAGCGCCGCTTCGAGTTGTTCTTGTACTTCCCCCCCGGTGAACGGCATCAGCCTCTGGAGGATGTGACGCGCTCGCACAATGGGGTGGCCCGTTGGCTGGAGCTGGTTCCCAGGGTTTGGTCCCGGCGGTGCTTCTTCTCCCCCCGCTGCTAGCGCCAGGGCATCGGCTGGATGCACCTCCCCCCCTTCCGCCTCCCGGTTGTGTTGTGTTGCCAGGGCACTCGCCTCCCCCCCCAGGCACGCTTCCATGTGGTGTTGTGCTTGTTGTAGGTGGTGGCTTGCTTGCGGGTGCGTCGGGTAGCTTGCCGCTATGAGCAGCTCCTGTTCGGCTTGCGGTGCTCTAGCTTCTGCCATGGATTGGAGTGCCCAGCTGCTGGTCCTTACCACCGTCCCCAGCCACCTCCTCCCCTGTCTTAGCAGCCCCAGGATTGCCCCCACATCCTGTATCCTCTCCTCCGCGTTCAGTGCCCCCCCAGCCCATACGGACGTGCTGCGCCAGCCTAATTGCTTCTTCAAAGTTGGTGGTGCCTCCTGTGTGGTGGGTCCACCCCCCCGTTGCTGTGGTGTCGTTGTCTTGGGCCGGGCGCGGTGGTGGTGGGTTGCTGCTGTCAGGGTTGTTGATCGGCGACGGCGGCCGTTGCTCCGCTAGCCTGCCTCGTGGCCTGGTGCTGCTGCTCGCGGGTTCCTCTCCTCCCCCCGGCTCCATATCTTCTGTGTGGTTGTTCACCAGCTGTGATCCCGTTGCTCCCCCTTCCCCTGTCCATGCCTGCAGGCATTCTAGGGCATTGGTCAGGTGGCTGTGCCCTGACTGTAGGGTGTTGGTAACTGCGTCGGTGGTAGCTTGGGTGCCGGTTGTGTGCTCCTGGAGGGCCTCGAGGGCTGCTTGGATGTATGTCGCGGCTGTCGTGGCCCCTCTTGCTCGGGCGTCTAGCTGGGGTTTGTGGCGCTTGGTTGCTTGCTCTTCTGGTGGCTGTTGTTTCCTCTTCCTGTCTCCTCTGCCCCCGCTCTTCCTGCCGCCTGACCTGCCCCCTCCCCTCCCTCTTCCTCGGCTCTTCTGGACCATGCAGTTGTCCTCCTCTTCCGCTTCTGCCTCCGCTGCCAGCTGCTCTTGTGCTTGTCGCCGCGTGCGGGGTGTTCCCTCCGGTTGAGGGGGCGGTGAGGGTGGTGGTGGCGTGGGTGGTGGCGTGGGTGGCGGTGGTGTGGCTGCCGGCTTCCGCTTTGGTGCTGGGTCAGAGGGCCGGCTCCCACTTTGCTGTGGGTAGGCTTGTGTTGCTGGTGGTGTTCCTGTGTTCTGGGGGTGTGGTTGTTGTTGCTGCTGGCTTGGTGGTTGCTGATGGCCCGAACTGGACGCCCCCCCTTGTTGGTAGTTGGGTTGCGGTGCGTCTGGCCCCCGCTGGTCGCCCTGCCTGGGTTTCATCGGGAGGGGCGTGATTCTGGATGTGCGGTAGATGTCCGGGTCCACCCTTGCTAGTTGCCCTTGCTGCAGTGGGACGTGCTCCTTTGGTTGTTCCCCCGGCTCGGTCTCTTCTTCCTCCTCCGCGGTTGCAACCCCCGTGACTGCCATAACCCACACGTCCTCCCCCTTCACCTTCCTGAGCTGTCCTTGGGTACCTCTGGCTATGGGCCGTGGTTGGTCCTCCCCCTGCGGAGTATTCCTCCCTAACTGCCTCACTCTTTGGCCCCCTGGTACATGCTTCCATTGGTCCGCAACCTCAAAAGCCCAGAGGTATTCACCTCTTTTCCCCGGCCAGAAGATGATTTGGTTGTTCTTGCTGATGGGCAGCAGCGGGGGCCCGTCCTGCGACCATTCCCAGCCTTCGTCCCCTCTGTTCCCCCCCCCCGTGGTGGTGGGTTGCCGTGGTGCGTTGCTTGTGTCCCCCGGGGGATTGGCCTGGTTCGGGCCCGGGTGACCCTGTGCACACGGTTCGTCCTCCTCGTCCTCGTCATCTTCGTCATCATCGTCATCGTCATCATCGTCGCTGCTCCAGTGGGTTTCGGACGAGTCACTCGTCCCCTGGGGTTGGTCGGTGCGTGGATCTCGTTCTCGGTCGCCATGGCCAGTGTCACGATCTTGTAGTTCACGACGTTCTCGGTCGCTGGTCGGCTGGTTCTGCTGCGGGTGCTGGTCCCTGGGTCGTTTGTGTCTGTTGAGGAGCTCGGCCCAGTCTTCCTGCGGTGTGTGCCCCCCCTGGGTTGGTTGCCCCCCTCCTTCGCAGCTGGCTTTGCCCCCCCGCTTTCGTGCTTGCTGTTTTCTTTCCCACGCCCTCCTGGCCTTGCGCTCGCGGTTGCGCATCCTCTGCTCCCCCCGCCCCTCGTGCCGGTTCCTTGCCCTCCTCGCCATCGCCTCCTCAAACGTCTCCCCCTCCCGCATGTACCAGTGTGCCGGTCCGTCTTGGCTTTGCTCCTGGTGGCTGCCTCCCTCCCCTTCGCCTTCGGTTGCCGCGTGGTGTTGGTGTGGCTCTTCGTCGTCGGTGTGCTCGGCCGGCGGTTGTGGAGGCTTCGGCTTGGTGGCTGGTGTGCCCCCGCATGTGGTGTAGTGGGTCGGCCGTTCTCCCTGGCGTGGTGGTGGTGCTTTGACTGGCGGGTCACTGCTT